CAAACTTATCTCATATGAAAGTTTGGGGCTGTGACGCTTATGTAGAGAGAAATGAATCAGATAAGCTTTAGGCTAAATCTGATAAATACGTATTTGTGGGATAACCGAAAGAGACAATTGGATATCAGTTTTATAATCCCGTTGAGAAGAAGGTGTTCATCTCAAAGCAAGGCTAGTAGCGAAGGGTTATACACAAAGACAAGGCGTTGAGTTTGATGAAACTTTTTCGCCTGTAGCCATGCTAAAGTCCATTCGGATTTTGCTTGCAATAGCTGCATACCATGATTAAGAGATATGACAAATGGATGTCAAAACTACTTTCCTTAATAGAAACTTACAAGAGGAGGTGTACATGACACAGCCTGAAGGTTTTGAATCCAAAGGAGCCAACAAAGTATGTAAGCTAAATCGATCCATTTATGGATTAAAGCAAGCCTCTAGGAGCTGGAATCTTCGTTTTGATGAGACAATCAAAAGGTTTGATTTTATCAAAAATGAAGATGAACCGTGTATTTACAAGAAGACAAGTGGGAGCGCGGTCGTATTCCTAATATTATATGTCGATGACATATTATTAATGGGAAACGGCATCTCAATGCTTCAATCGGTAAAATTATGGTTGTCAAAGAATTTCTTCATAAAAGATATAGGAGAAGCAGTGTATATCTTGGGAATCAAGATCTATAGAGATAGATCTAAAAGATTACTAGGCTTATCCCAATCTTTGTACATAAATAAAATCTTGAGAAGATTTAATATGGAAGAGTCTAAAAGAGGTTTATGTCCCATGTCACATGGGATTTACCTCTCAAAAGATATGTGTCCTAAAACACATGATGAAAGGAGTCGCATGGATAAGATTCCTTATGCTTCGGCGATAGGATCTATCATGTATGCGATGCTATGTACGAGACCAGATGTTTCATATGCTCTAAGTGTTACGAGAAGGTTTCAAGCAAACCTTGGTGAGAAACACTGGATAGCTATTAAGAACATTTTTAAGTACTTGAGAAGGACTAAAGATGTGTTCTTGATCTATGGAGGAAATGAACTGAAAATTCATAGGTATACTGATGCCAACTTTTAAACTGACAAAGATGATAGCAAGTCTCAATCAGGATATATATTTACTCTCAACAATGGAGCGGTTAGTTGGAAAAGTTCCAAACAGAAGATAACCGCTGATTCAACAACAGAAACTGAGTACATTGCTGCTTCAGAAGCAGCGAAGGAAGTTGTCCGGATCAAGAAGTTCATTAATGAACTTGGAGTCATTCCTAGCATTGTTGATCCCATACCTTTGTATTGTGATAATAATGGAGCCATCACACAAGTGAAGGAACCGAGGTCTCATCAACAATCCAAACATGTGCTAAGGCGATATTATCTCATCAGGGAGATTATACAAAGAAATGACGTAACAATAGAGCGAGTTCCCACAGATGACAATATTGCAGATCCACTGACAAATCCGTTGTCACAATAGAAACATAATCGTCATGTGGATGCTTATGGTATTAGATACATGAGTGATTGGATCTAGTGCAAGTGGAGTTAGTAAGTGTTATGCCCTAGATCCAATCGATCTAGGTTGTAAATACTTTTAATATATTTAATGCATTTAGTTTGGCAAGATCTATTATTTATTTAAATTAATTTTGTGATAAATAATATTAAATAATAGAATCCTAAGATCAAAGTTTAAGTGATTTGTTAATCACAAGGAGTTGTGATTGTGAGATACAAACTACGTATGATTGAATCTTGAATAAATCGTGGTCGTAATTAATGATGAGATACGAATATCGTTAATACAGTTAGACCATCACGTGTGGCATTTCTTACTTGTGAAGTAAGTAGCTGATCTCACGAACTCAAGTGTCGTGACACTTAAATGAACACGTGGATGTTTTGTTATAGAACAAAATATTTGAGACCTGCTAAGAGATTCCACATGGATAACTATCTGAGTGTTAGTGGTTAATCTCTAACGTTCGGTAGTGGAATTAGTCCTACGACTTGAGGTCATCATAGTGCCTTGTATGAGGACAGTCATGCTTTGACGGTGTTGGATGTTGCTCTACCAAGGGCTGCTAATACAATATCGTTCGGGTATGTCAAGAATCATATGAAGGTTGTGAATGACTAATAGAGGATTCGTCATTCTTAGATAGTAAGAGATTGTGATCTGCATTTCGTTCAATTAAGTCAATATCGAAATTCTTTGCCAAGGTATACATATAAGTCGAAAAGGAGTTTTCGACTCATATTGGCTTAATAGTAGAATGAAAGATATGATCGATAATCGAGATTGACACACTTTCATATCTCGTAGTTGATGGGATCATATTGACGAAGGGATTATAGTTTCATGGTAAACGAACATTTTTGGTTTTGTCATACCACGTGACATTTCTCATCACATGTATTGCCTGATACATTACTAGATGTCAATTTGGGACGGCGAGTATGAATTTGTGATAAATTAAAAGGGTGTTTAATTTATCAGTTTTGATTAGATCAAAATAATATTTCACATCGTTAGGCATTATGGTCGGGAACCTGATGGGTTGCACACAAAAGAGAATTGGGAGATTGTAAATTGCCAATTAATTAATTCATCCAATCGTTGGATAAAATTAATTGATTGGATTGGTTATTTATAGCCTCGAATGAATTGATTGGATTAATTAATTCACGGACCGAATTTAATTAAATGAATTAATTAAATATTGGACCGGAACGGGCCGAGCCCGTTTGGGTTATATAAATACATGGTTAGGGTTTAAGATCCATAAGGTTTTCATTATTCTTGCTGGCACAAAAGGAAAAATCTTAGTAGTTATAGTCTATTCTCTGTGTGGATTTCATTGGAGGCTAGACAATTGAACAGCTGTGGGAGGTAAATTCAAGTTGCTGGAAAAGAATAACGCAAAGGAGTTTGCAAAATCAAGAAAAAGGTATATTTTTCATCACAGTTCTTATCTAAATACAAAGCTGAATCCTGGTGAGAATTGAAACTGTTTATTTCCGCTGTGCATGTTTAAGTAAATTCCCAACACCACCAAGGTTCCAAAAAGTCAGGTTTCCTCTTCCAACACGTCTCCTCTTCCGGCATCCATACATGGAATATTTGCATCACCAATCCATCTCTCATTGCGACATCAGCTTTTCTGGTGAATTGTTCACGCTCGAGTTTAAATAACAGCGCAGGAATTCCAATATGCCCAGATTTTAGTGCTCGAAATCGATTTTGTGGATAAAGACATTCCATAAATATGGATTGAGATATGATTTGAGGATTTCTTGTGTGTAATGAAGATTCTGGGGTTTTAATTTTTCAATTTTTGGTTTGAAATCTGTAATAGTGAGCTGGGTAATTGGGGTAAATGTGGCAGGGAGTAATTGGGCATGAATGGGGGCGAGATTATGGGTTTGAGTTATTCGGTATGTTTGGAGGAAAGATTTCAGCTTCTAAATGGATTATTTGAGGGGTTGTGTTTATGATTTGCCATTTCTATTTATACTACTCATATTACAGTAAATCTGGTTAAAAAATTATTGTAATATAAAAAAGGAATTTTTATTTTTATTTTTAAGGTAGCAGGTGAAATTCCCTCCTCCTCCTTATTATTATTATAAGTGGAAATTACATAAAGGCCTACTTTAAAAGATCCAATTTCAAAAACAAGATGCAATGTTTATTTATACAAAAATCAGATATTAATTTAAATATTATAAATTAATATTTTAATATTAATAATAATATTATAAATTAATCTATATACATACACCCTACCATATATATCCCCATTCAAATCCTAAATTGAAGTTTCTCTCTCCCTGCTCTTCTTCATTCTCTCTGTACCACCGTGCATCGCCGTCCTCTCCTTTCTCTCTTCACCATCCATCTCTCTACTCTCAGATCGCTGTCGCTACAGTTGCTATAACAACCCAAATACGCAGTGATGATACGGTACAAGCAGCAAGGCGCGCGAACGGTGGTGTTTGAGGGTGGATTGGTGTTGGTGGTGGTGGTGGTGGCGCCTCATGGAGGTAGCTGTGGGATTTGTGTTTATTTCATGGTAGTGTGTGGTTAATAGTAAATGACAATGGTGGTGGTGTTGATGGTGAGATTTTCAGATCGGTTTGTAGATGTCGCAATTGCTGTTGATGTGACGGTGAGGTGGTGATTCTACCGACGATGGCGATGGCGCAGGGGGTTATGGTGTGGCGGTGATTTAAGGTGTGATATATGGAGAGCAAAGATGGTGGTGTAGTGGATTGGGGTTAGGTAGGGCGCGGCAGCGTGGTGCTTGTTTCGGCGATGGTGGTGGTGGGATGGGGTTAGGGTAGGGTGCGGTGGTGAAGTGATTTGTGACCAATATTTGAATGATTGGGACCAACAAATTGACTAATTTGTGACCAATAAGTAATACGTGACCAACAAAATATGTGATTGATGAAATATGTGACCAATAAATTGTGACCATAAAAATAATTTGTGACATATGAAAATTTTGATTTGTAAGTCTGTGATCGAAAAATATTATGTGACTAACTAAAACGTCAATTTGTGACCAAAGTACATAAATATGTGATTTTAATATATTTAATTAATAAAATATATAATTAATTAAATTTAATAATTATCTAATTTTTGAAATTTGAGACTTTTATTCTTAGTTTTGAAACGATAGATACTTATTTTCTTACTTATGAAATTTTTTCATATTATTATTTAGCATCTCAGTAGGCCAGAATTTTATTTTAGGCCCAATCTAAGAAGGCCCAACTTTGTATTGAGATGAACACACCGCCGATGGGCGATGGCCGGTGAATTAGGCACGGTTCAGAGCAGGTTTTGGGCAGCTGCAAATGAGGCCCATGCCTCAGGCCCAACAAGTAAAGGGGCCTCAAATTTTATTTTTTATTTTTTTATTTTTTCTTTTTGATACCCTCGTTGATATTCTCCTCTCTTCCTCTCCCTGTGCTGGTGCATTCGAGTCTTCGAGAANAGTCTTCGAGAAGTGAAGATCCAAGAAGGCCGAAAGCCCACTTCTCTTTCAAGTCTAAACCGTCCGTCGCCGACTCGCCAGCCGCGGTTGAAATTTGGGTTTTTTGCTTCAGGTGTATGTTTTCGGATAGATTCATTCTTGGAATTTCTCGCTTTTGTATCTCAATTTGTGATAACGTCTTTTGGTTTCATTGAATTTTCTTGTTTTCTGATGGATTCTTTTTATTCTGAATTTAGTACGTCAAATTGAAGTTGCAATTAGTCGCTGGGTTAAGTTAATTACTCTCGTGCATGTGGTTTTGAAGTGTTTTCATTTGGGAATTATGTGATTAGAACTTAGTTTTATTGCTCTGGATAATTATTTAATGGAAATTTCTGTGTATTTTCGACGTGAGTTTTTACCAAAGCTTCCGGAGTTTGAATATATTTATTCAGTTGTCAAATTCATCAATTGAGTCTACCTGGAATAGTGTATGATTATATCATCAATGATGATATTTTCCAGTTCATTTTGCGTGTAGTTTTTCTAGAATTCTGGTAAATCTGTTCACATGTTATTTTCCCTGTGGATTTGAAGTAAAGTAAAAATCTTTTTCTGTGTCATGGACCTGAAGATGAGTTTATGCTGTTTAATAGTTTGGTTTATTGGTGATCATATGGCATTCTACTAAAAAGTGTCTGAGAACTCTTGCTTTGGCTTTGTTGTTACTAATGCATATTCTGTTGAGCAACTCGGCGAATCTTTACAGTTTTGTTTTTATACAATTGTAAGATTTAGGAAATATCTTTCATTTTGTTAACTTTTCACTTCATCACCAGTTCGGGAGATTGGGAGTAAATCGAATGGACATATTAATTGTGGTCAAATGAGCCAGGGCTCTGTTGCGCTTAACTGTTTATCAGGAATTATATTTGGATTTTATATTATGTTGTCAATATTCACTCCACGTTTGCACCTTGGATGAAAGGTAGAAGTGCTTGAGGATGAATAACAATACTGCTGGACCTTCCTCCAAATCAAGAGCGGGAGCGTCTCAACCTTCTGAAAGCTCATTTAAGCGCAAACGTGGAATGTTTCAGAAAGATTGTGCGATTCTCTCTCACTGTTAATTTGTCTTTGGAGTTCTGAATATGCATTTTTTTATTTTTATCTAATTATTATTTGATGTGCTACGACAGTCCAGCATATGATGTAGTCTTTGGAGTTCTGACTATGCATTTTTTTTTAATCTAATTATTATTTGATGTGATGCAACAGTGCAGCATATGATGTATGGTTTCGGCGACAATCAAAATGTACGTCGGGTTTACATTTTTCTCTTTCCCTTTGAAAACTTTTATACTTTGCCCTGAAGTTTCTGGTTTTCTAAATTCTAATCTTACCTATAATTCTTTGGTATTTAAATCGATGCACTACAGCCACTTCCAGAGACCGTGGCACTTGTGGAGGATATTGTGGTTGAGTATGTAACAGATTTGGTGAGTCATTTTTGTTCTTTTCCTATCTCTCTAATCATATGAACTGGTTTAATTTGCTGTAAACCTGCAATTCCATGTCAACCATAACTGTGACTTCTACAGGTCCATAAAGCTCAGGATACTGCATCTAAAAGAGGAAAGCTTTTGACCGAGGATTTTCTCTTCTTAATTCGCAAGGTACAAATCTGTGGCATATGCCTAAGGCATATAAAATTATGAAGGAGATACTTGGATTAGGTTGGTAGGCAATATATGATGGACTTTTACATATGATAGAGCTAAAAATTAAATAAATATTTCTCATTTTTGACAAATTTTTTTTAGGAATTATGGAGATCTGCATGTCATTTTCTTCTTTGCAATTGCCATTCTCACATACTTTGAACTTTTAGCTGCTCCGATGAAAGTATGACAAATTCAAATTTCCATAATGGATCTTGTAGGATGTGCCGAAACTTAATCGATGCACGGAATTGTTGTCCATGAATGAAGAACTGAAACAAGCTAGAAAAGCTTTTGAGGTAGATGAAGAGAAACTTGCTACAATTGACTGATAGCCTAATGTGCACTTCAACAAAGATTCAAGCGTTTGTAATTCTATTATCAATTAAGATTATATTGAATCTCTATGTTAATTCACAAGCATACAGGCTAGAACATCGCTTGCTATGGTATTCTTGGCGCTATTTTTGAACATTTTTGCTAGGAAAATTGAATAAATATAAGGTTATTATAAATATTTGGGATTTTTATTAATCTATCCTCAATTTTTTGGTCATGTGCCCTTCTACTTGTGCTTCATGGTCCCTTATTGTAGCAGGCATGATATTGGCGTCCAGGAATGTCTTTGCTTTATTAAACACAACTGGTTTTCAGAGGCTCATAGCTGAGAATTCTATAAAATCCTTTCTAGGCAATGTCGCAAAATAAATCATTAAATATCGCATTGTACACTATCCAAACTAACATAAAAAGTGATTAGATATCATGGAAATATTGCGAGAGGCATATCAAAAACCTTCAGCATAAACGAAATGCAATGCACAATAACAATCTACAACTCAATGCTATGCTATCTAGTCCCTCAACTCAGTTGAATATAATATCAATTCAATAGCAGTACACGAAGAAAATGACACATTTTACTGCCAAATTCAGCTCTTAAGCTACGAAGGTGTGGTTTGAATCTTCCACATGAACGGCCATGTAACAACGGGAAATATTTTAGATCGATCGGAGTAGAAAACTGTAACTTCTATCCAAGAACTTCCTTGATCTTTGTTTTCTGGTCCTCCGTTAGTGAAGTGGGAAACAAAACCTCAAACATGACATATAAATCTCCCTTCTTGTTGCTAAAATGTAACGGCATCCCTTCACCTTTAAATTTCCTTACTTCCTTGGGCTTTGTAATACCCTGAAGAGAAGAAAATACACATCTATATTATTCGTGTTTCGGACAATAGAGCTCACACCCTACTCAACAAGTTTGTGACTAATTGAAGCAAGTGAATAGGATATGTTTAGCCCAAAAACACAAATTAAACGAAAAGAAAATTGGGCAATGCTCACCTTAAAGCTAATATCCACGAGATGATCATCAAGGTGTTTAATGGTCTTCTCAAAACCGACAAGGGCTTGCACCTGAATGAAGAGAGTGACAAATCAATTAATGTCTTTTATCAACCAAGTATGCAACAATCATGCTGAATACTACAAGAAATATATTAGTGTGGTAAACAATAAGGAGACTGGAAAAATCAAAGCCATGCATAGGCTAATTGCACTACCCTTCAACGGTCCTTTACCATCTCATGAAGCTATCAAATAACAATAGTAGTTAACGCTATAAATAAACAATTAAATGGCTAATTTTACTATTTCTGTGAGTAATACAGAGTAGATACCAGCGCGCTACATGACGAATAACACTTGTACAGAGACAGAAGTAATCTCTATACTTTCTGCAGGACATTTTAAATTTGCACCAACAGGAGGCATACAGGATGGAGATATCCAAAAGTATCCAAAAGTCAGCCTATATAATATCAAATTATACTGATAAACACTATCTACACCTGAAATCCCAGCATCAGACATATGCCTAAATGTGAATCTGTGCCTCCAAAATCATTTTATCAGTCTTTCATGCGGATACCTTATCACAACTTAGCACTCGAGCTACGAAAGTGTATAATCAACATTTTGCCAAAATCTGCCATTGCATGGCTTCTAAAATAGTAAATGACATAATACCGAATTAAAACTGAATTTGTGAAATACAGAACTAAAAACGTATCTTCCAAACCACATGATGATTTCTTACACAATCAGTTACAATGTAACAACTTTTTCTATAGTAAGTTTTTACAAAGTTCTGCCCAACTAGCACAAAAGTAATTTACAAATAAAGAGCACATTTGGCCCTAACCAAAATTAGAGAAGGCAGAACAAATTGTTCAGAAAGCAAGATTGCATAATTGATGAAAGAACAATACCAAAGTAATTGTAACTGTTGTACGGATGTCATTTCCTTCCCTTGTGAAGACATCATGAGGTGCAGTACGGATGCGAAACTGTCCAAAAATGGCAAAGCAAGTGAGACGGAATAATAGCCATCCAGAAAGAACTAAATAGAAGCTGGTCAAAAACCACACAAAAGCCAAGGATCTAACCTTCAGATCTCCACCTTCACCATCTATTTTGGGCTCACCGTCCTCATAGAAGACCACTTCCTGTGATAAGAAGCAATAAGTGATTTGGAAAGACTAAAAACTAATGCACTTAGTAAGACCAGACAAATGCGTCGGAACAAAGAAATATGTAAAGAGAAAATCTCTATCGATCCCTTCCCAAGCATAGCTTGGTTCATCTAGATGAAAATATTATATAGACGTAGATTTGAACATATATTAAAAAGATAATAATAAATAAATCTTAGCCAGTCATAAAATTTATGCTGATGAAAGCTTACTTGACCATCTTGCATGCCTTTTTCAACATCCACGGTGATAAAATAGCCTTCCCTTTCATACTTCACATTTGGGCATTGTTCGCAGACCTGGAAAAAATAAATAAATAAATTTATAGCATAGGAATACAATAGCTAAATGCAAAATCCAAAACAACCAAATTGGAAGGACATCTTCCTTTGAAAAAGAAGCCATTTGTGCTATTTTCTTGAGAAAAACATACCTGCTCGGTCATCTGCTGGAACATTCCTGGACCAATTTGCCTGTGATAAACTTCATTTCTACAATTGCATTGTCTTTTCCCTGGGGCTGGTTTTATTACGTTTTTCTCTCTCCACACCTAATGGATCTCACAAACAACATCATTGACATGAGAACGTAAATTAAATATATCGTAGTGGCAATTGAATAATTTGAATTCTGCAAAACCAACTCAATCTTGCTCAGTGTAATGTTAGTTGTATTTGATGCCATGTGACAGCTCCTTCAAATTCTGAACAGACTATGTTAGAATCTTTAGTCATTGGTGATAAACTTTTCATTTTTTCGAAAGCAAGCCAAACTTAAATCCTATAGACTCTTTTCAGTATCTGATGAAGCAATAAGTGAAATCATAGGACAAAAATGCTGGTAGCACAAAACTTTGGTATGATGTTTTGCTGCATAAACTAGTAAATAAAAAGAGCAAACATCCATTTAGGACAAGCTATTATATTCTAGCTTAAACAAATGAGTCCAAGAGTATCTCAACCATTCAGTCAGACTGATAATTCATCTGTAAAAATAAAGGTGTCTGTTGTTATGTATTAGAGTTTTCACAGTACTTAATGAAAATAATATATGACTAAGCTTACTCCTTAAAACCTTAATGTGTATATGTCCATTACCTTCAAGGAACCCCCCATATATAGATCTTCTAGCGTCGCATCCAATTCAACAATCACATCATCTCCTTTCGCAATGTTCTCTTCCTCTTCCATTGGACCTCCACCAAAGAAACTGGAAAAAATCTATCCATGTCACATTATGGAGTTCGGACAAAACATTTGATAAAAGAACAGAAAGAAGAGAATGCCTGCACAACCGAGAGAAAAGCTAACAAAACAACCAAATAGGATTACAGGGATTTCCAAATCAACTACTTGTGTATTATTTCATTTAATCCGCTAAGTTGCAACAACCAAAAGTGACTGCTTTCTTGTCTCCATGACGGTGAATGTTGGTCTGGGACTTTAACAAACGACCATAGGCTAAACTGAATGGAAATCATAGCAAACAATATAAAGGAAATGAAAACTAATTAACATCCTTCCACCATCTATATATGGTTGGCACGAAAATGAGGTAGACGATAGAAGTGGATTAAAACCCTCATGAGGGGTTTGCCATTGCTTAAGCATTCTATCTTTATATGCCCTCTTAACTCTTAAAGCGAGTTCTTAAAGCTTACTTGACAAAGTGGAAGTGTTTGTAGACTTATAGTTGCTCAAAAAATAAAAATTAATAAATAAAAATGAAGAAGAGAGAATCCTAAATTTTCTAAACGGATTGAAGCACCTGAGATGTTTGAGCTTACAATGCTTAAACTCTTAAGTGCTTACATGAACTACAACTTCACAGCACTAAACAGTGCTAATAGTTAAGCACGTATACTCAATAAATAAACACTGCCACTGCCAACAATACCTTTGCAATCTCCTTGAAAAGATTCAATAATATCCAGTTATGGTTGGATATTTTGCCATGACAATGAAAATCTTCATTTTTCTATTTCTTTTTTTTTTCCCGTCTTTTTTTATTTTTTTTTTATGGCATGAAAGAACCATGGCATGGAAGCTAGATGCACGAAAAGGCTTCTAATGGACTTGATCGGGCAATAAATATAAGCCAGAAAAAGAGGTAACGATCATAGCGCATCAAGTCAGAGCAGAAATAACTAATTAAGTAGAGCAATATATAGAATTAGAAACTTACGAGCTAAAGATGTCTTGAATGTTCATTCCCCCACCTCTGCCACCACCACTTGCAGCATGCTGTTTAAGCCCATCTTCACCGTACCTATCGTATATACTCCTCTTTTCACCATCCGACAATACTTCATAAGCTAAATAATTCAAAGCAATCAACACGGTCACGTTTTTTTAATAAACAAAATGATGCTATTTCAAGCAATGAATTTCTTAATGATCATGTAGATATACGGATTATCAAAAGAGAAATAAAGCAATACCATTACTGATTTCTGCAAATCTCTTGTTAGCTTCTTCATTTCCTTGATTCTTATCAGGATGATACTTCAATGCAAGCTTTCGATAGGCTCGCTTTATTTGCTCATCTGAAGCGCCTTTAGGCACTTGCAGAATCTCATAATAACTCTTCCTGAGAACAATTAACAATCAATCAAATTAGATCATAACAAAACATATCACCGTTATCACGTATGCATACAAACATACGACTACTACTGTAGCAAAAATGTATGATACTTACGCGGAAATGGCAATTACATAGCATGAGAAAATGCAGAAGAAAAATAATTTTGATCTTCGATGCGCCATACTGTTATGACACGGAAATCAAAACTCTTCCACTCCAAAATCTAGGGTTAAAAATCGGATCTAAAAATTCATAGAAACAAAAAGTCTATCTCGATTTGCTTATGTGTGTCTTACAGGAACTCCTTACTCGTATAAATTTTTGTGGATAGTAAATTATTATTACTATCAAGAAAAATCTAAAAGCAAATGTCGAACCGCAGAAGGGGTGGTTTACTTTGCTAAGACGGGCAATTCTAACAGATCGCTACGTGGTGCAGAGGGGCCTAACCAATGAGAGTGCGCTCTAACTTGTTCTGACCAATAATTTAGTGACACGTGTCAAAACCAATTGGCCTTTTCCAATCGGGCGGGTGACGTGGGTCAAAGTTCCTCTGAAGACTACAAAATGTTTTTTCCTTTTATTTTAAAAAAATTTAAAGGAGAGAGCCAATTCGATTTGCTTTCAGGAAAAAAATTGTGGATTTCTCGACTTTCTTTTGGGAACACCTAGATAGATTTTAAATTAGGAATACCTGAATTATTTTTAAAATATTATAAATTCTAATGAATTTTGAGAATTCGAATAAATTTCCACAAATTTTATGAGAATTTTATTAACAATAGAGAAATTTCAAAAGATTTTGTTGTATGTATATTTAATTTTGAAATCTATCCAAATACTTTAAAATCTTTTGATTAATGAAAACCTTATAAATTTAGTAGTGTTGAGGATACTTGAATTTTAAAAAATTTCATTAAAATCTTAGGGTCTGTTTGGGTCCGATTTTTTCACCCAAAAAATTGATTTTTTGACCGTTATTTTATTATTCCAGCCATCATATTTGACTTCTTCTCTTACAGGAGGACCCTACCTTTTTCCTAACGGTCAAAAAATCAATTCTCAAAATCACTCACAAACAGGCTCTTAATTGTAATGCCTAAATTTTAATGAATTTCATTCAATTGTGGATACCTAAATTTAAAAAGATTTTTAAAATTCATCAAAATCTTAGTTAGAGACACCCCCTTAATCTACTTTGTTCAAGTGAGGTCTATCCTTGTAAAGATGATAGCGATTATCTACTTTTAAACTTATGTTTGGTCAATGTTGTAAATAATTAAACTCAAATAACTTTTTATCTACACATTTTGAAAGAGCATTATTTTGAAGGAACTACAAGTAATGGTAACTTACTTACATATCATCAAGAATTTGGTGAGACACACTTGTGAGTTGCGCGAATTGAACTCACCCATGTTTTGTATACAATTCTTGACTTGACTAGACACAAAATTTTGCTACAACAGTTACAAGTTGATAAACCTCATAGTAAGCAACTGGTTTGAGTGTCGAGCTTTAAGCTACAGTATCTGGAAGGGCGCAAACCCAATGTATAAATCATCAATTTTCAGATTCATCCACTCTCAAGTCCACGAGCAATGATGTCCTGTGAGACATGTCCTGGTTTTCATGATGCTTACGTTTTACAATTTGATATTCCCTTTCATCAATTGTAGCCTTTGCATCAGAACATGGCTACTCCTCAACTTCCATATGATGCCCAATTTCTTGTGGCGATTCAAATTGTGATAAGCCAAGAGGTTGTGCTCTCATTTGTACAGATCGTGAGAGGGCAGCCCTCCTTAAGTCTGCTGAGTGGCATATGTCAATCAGCGATGATGGAAATGAGCCTCGCTGGCGTGGCTGTGAAGGATATGAAGTACCCGGAGGGCCTAATGAAAATCTAGATTTTTGGCACCTATAGGGAGATACTGAACTTGTTGGTAAGCATTCAGGCTGAGAAGAACAAGCGTTTGTAGAAGTATCATAGTATCATGAGTCATCTGAATTTTCATAAAGTGGTGAAGATCGTAACGATATTTCATCCCTGAAATAGATAAACAGAAAATTAAAAAAAAAAATCATGTATGTAAGAACACAGAATCAATGAGGAATAGAATTGAAATTTATATCACAAACCTTCACTTAAAGTTGTCCGTACTTCATTAAAGAATCTTGGCACAATTCGGAAGTATGAAATAGGAAATGGCAAAAAAATATTACAAATCAAAATGTTGTAAGAGGTAAACACTTTTGCTTTTTTGAGCTTTTACATTCTCAAATATGCATTTATGGTTCTCAGATTAGGTAGATAATGGTTGAGAATATAATGGATTGATAGACTGAATGTTCTCATAAGATCACATCTAGCTACTTAGATGTGTGTTTATCTCTTAATCTAAAGATAACAATCAGCTCCTACTGCCTAGATTGCCCCGTATTAAAAAAATTTGAAGTACCATAGACATAAAGAGAAAGCCCTTTTTTTTTTTTTTTTACTTTTTGCCCACTCTGCATAAATAAGAAAACCTAGGAGCTTCTAGAAACAATTATCTCGAAGAAAAGAGAGATGGAGGATGAAAAAATGACTTTTAAGTTTCAAGGAAGTATACAAGGCAATGAGTAAGTAGATTAAAAGTTAAGACTATAGATGTGATGGAATTCCTTCTATGCGAGCATGTTTGGGTGGGCTTAAATCTCAAAAATAAGACTACTTTTGACTTATTTGAGGCTCATCTTGACAATAGCCATCCAAACATGCTCTAAAGCAACTCTGTTAGGAAAAATATTTACAATTTCATACTACCCAATTATCATCATAAGACTGCGCTAACTTGCATGAGTAGTGAAAATGAACAAAATATTTGAACTTTTTTCCAGCCTGCTATTGTAAGCAACCAACAGTAAAACCTCATCCCAAGTCTGCAGTTTCAATTTTGTCTCTTCGATTTTCTAAACCGAGCATTTCGCTAACATGCTTCCTCTGTACAACCAAAAGTTCTTGATGACACCACCTTCACCTCTTCCCTCAAGAAAAAAAGGTCCATACTTTTCTTTATAAGAACGAAAATTCTCGACCAATCAAAGCACACAGCACGTGATCCCAAGAAGCACAATGCGGAGAATGTTTTAAACAAATGAAAGTTCTAAATGCACTCATAAACCCTTCCAACATCCTTAAAACTCTTAGCTTTACATTTTATGTTTAAAAGCTTAAAATCAACCAGAATAACAAATAGCCCCAAATTTATCATGTCTCAGGTCTTTATATCTGATGCCTTGCCTGCCTATTTTGATAAAACGTTTTGTATAGGCAATTTAAAGTTGCCCAATCAATACTAGAAACCTGATTTGAGAACTAACTCTTTGACCCACAATATTCCACCACCAGCATCATCTATGTATGTTATGTCTTAGGTTTTGTGACTAAAATATGGTTAGGAGTCTTGTGAGATTGCGTATTTGATTTTTACTTAGACATGAAGATTGTATCCAAGTTGAATAAGGAAAGAAAATTCTCTCTCGGTCAAAGTTCTGTATGCAATTGTAATATAATTTTAATAGATTTTCTTATCTATTAGGACTCTTCTAGGGTTTGGAACGTGACCTATAAATACAAGGCTCCCCGATCAGTTTTGTTTAAGCATTCTTACCGTGTCTATAATTTCTCTCCATATTGTTAGTTAATATATATCGTTCCTCTGTAATTAACTCTCTTTGTTCTTCTTTACTTTTAATCTTGTTTCTTGTTGCAATATTTATTACTTTATATTGTTTCATTAATCTCATTCATTACAATCCCTTCTGGTCCAGCAAGTGGTATCAAAACTTGGTTCTTCTCTGTGGATTGGTTGAGGTTTTTTCAGAGATGACTACCATGAAGTATGAAATTTCGCTATTGGATCACAATAAAGGTTTTCTTTGTGACAAGTAAAGATAAGGGCTATTTTGACGTAGTTGGATTTGGATGACACGCTGTTGGGTTTCGAGAAGATGTCAACTGAATGGACAACAAAAGAGAAACAATGGAGGAATCGAAAGGCTTTATTGCATATCCATCTTCACTTATCCAACAATATCCTGTAGGATATCTTTAAGGAGAAAATAGCGGCTGCTTTGTGGTTGAAACTGGAGCAGTTATGTATGACTAAAAGTCTCACGAGAAAATTGGTTCTAAAACAGAAGTTGTATTCCCATCGCATGGCGGAATGAGGGTCATTGGAGGACCATATTGCCGTGTTCGAGGAATTAGTTACAGATCTGGAGACGTTGGAGGTTGAGTACGATGAAGAGGATCTAGCCTCGATCCTATTGTGTTTTCTGTCTGGCTCTTATGGTCGTTTCGGGACACCATTTTATATAGTCGAGATACTTTGACTATAGACGACGTCTATGATGGTATGCACTCGAAGGAGAAGTTGAAACATTTGGTTGAAGCCATATCGAGGGATAAGGAAGCTCTTGTATCTTATGGTGATTGATGAAGAGGCAGATCGAAGAATAACAGCAATTTGTTTTGCTTCTACTGTAGACATAAGGGACATGTTCGAAATGATTTCGATAAGTTACAGGCTAAAGGTAATTTAGCTACGAATCGTGGAGCACAACCTTTAATTTCAGACGAAACAAATGTAGTTGAGGATTTTTCAGAGCGCGGAGATGTGAGGTTGACCGTGGTATCTATATGGAATCTAGGCCTGACGAGGAATGGCTTCTCGATTTGACTTGTTCGCATCATAGTGTTCCAATCGAAATTTCTTTCAAACATATGAGGCTGTTCAACAAAGTGAAGTTGTACTGGGAAACAACCAGTCTTGCCATATTGCTGGGATCGATCTAGTCAAATTTAGGCTGCGTGATGGGACAGTTAGAACAATTGATCAGGTTTGACATGTTCCAGACCTAAAAAGGAATCTCATTAGGCTTAGTACTTTGGATGTAAAATGGTATAAATTTTCTAGTAGAGGTGGAGTCTTGAAGGTCCGAAAGAGTGTCTGGGTTGTATTAGAGGGACGGAAAAGATCTCAATCATACATCTTGCGGAAAAGATCTCAATCATACATCTTGTAGGGGAGCGCAAAATCAGTTAAGAAACATCTGGATAAGTTCAGTACCGTGGTGGATATTTAGTTTGGTACAGTACCTCTCATGATGGGTTCTAGATCGATTCAGAATGCTCGAGGGAGCATTGGAGATTTCATTTTGTCACCAATTTCAGCGGTTTCACTGTGTTCATTTGCTAGGGTTGGATTCATTGAGCGTAGGTACCGTGGTGTTAATGATGTTTGTAATGCTGTTAGGGACGTTGAAGGTGACAGTTCTACCGAGGGGCCTTCTATTTAGGCATTTTGTATGGTTTTCGCTACAAGGTGTGCTTCGACCCTAT